CTAGTTGCGGAATCCTGCGCAGTTGCGGAACTCGACTTTATCCTGTGGTTTTCTATTAACCTTACCGTTAATACATGTAAATAGCTATGGATTACACCAGATCCACCGGTCCATCTGACGCGTCCCGTTCCTTTCGGCACCAGCCCAAACACATCCCACGCGTCCGCAGACGAACCCCCAACTTCCGGAGGTCCCCGGGCCGGTCCCAGGAAGAGCCGCTGCGCCGGGAACTCGAAGACTCGAGAGACCTGGAGACTCGAGAGACTCGAAGACAGGGCCGGGTCGACGTGACGTGACCGATGGACCGGGAACTCGTGACCGGTGGAGGTCCGGGACGTGGAGAAAGAGTGGGCGGGATGTCCATGATGACCAAAACGAAGGTCATGTTGGAGAGGAAAAGCAGGTATGGGCCCTGGGCTGAAAGCAGGTGGACACCAAGAGTTGGAACATGGCGGCCAGGGGTTCAAGCCTTCGCAATGGTTTCAAAAGCAGTGAACTGAAGTCCAAGCCATGTTCTTGAGGTCCAGGGAAAGGGAGGTTGAATCTGGGTCTCATTCTTGAGTTGTGAACACCCCAGTGGAGTTGGACATCCCAGTTGATTTGGTTATGGATCCATTGGAAAACAAGGTTCTGCAGCACCTGAGATATGTTACACAAGTTTAGCGCATTTATCTTCAGATTCAAAGATTCGCCAATGAAAGGAAAAGGCCCCAACAGGCGCCAACAGCCCATGTCTGGCCTTGAGTTCCATGCCTTGCAATCGAGAGCTGCTGAGCACAGCAGCCAATAGCCAGGTGCACAAGTTATACTATAGGTGCCCACACAGGCGAAGCTATAGAGAAGTTGCTGATGTTCATCAATCTTGAGCAAGTGCTGGTTGCAAGCCACCAGCACCAGTTAAGGAGCCTGCCACTAAAGGCTGTTGATCCCACACGGGCAGCATCCACAGGTCATAGGGAGATAGACTTTGACCCAATATCTTCTTGAATCTTTGCACGATCCCAGCAACTGCACCTGCTTTCCGCCACAGGGCCACGGTCACTGACCGACTCTTACCCTTTCGAAGCAGAACTGGTCCTTCACTTGGCTCACACTTCAGGCCGGTGCTCGTTCGCACTGCCCCCCCCGTCAGCACTGCCACACTTGTTGGGCCTCACTTCCGCCATTTCGGAGAGCCCCTTCTCAGCAGACCCTGGGGCAAAGGACTCCAGGTCGCCAGGAAGGTCCAAACCAGATCTGCTTGGTCACCCTGGTCTGGCACCTAAAAGCAGAAGCAGTGGCCGTGGCCGCTCCCGGGTTCTCGGATGGCTACCGCCTCGGCGTTGGAATAGCTCCCCCAAGAGCCACTGGCGCATTGGAAGAAGCAGCAATGGGTAAGAGACGGAGCGCCAGCTGATTCACAGCGCCAACTTGCTGCTCCCAGTTCCCACTCTTCCGACGTCGACACATCGAAAAAGCTCTGAAAACGGCGTCACGGGCGGCTGAAATGCACAGCCCATTATTGTTTAGCATGGTGCAGCACTCATTCTTGCCCGTGCCTCGATAGATAGGACCATGTCCATGTTCCTCTAAAGGGCAGGTGGTTGGCATCATCCTGGTAAAATTAGGAACTCATATTTAACTGCCCATAAAGTGGCCCAAAGCCTTCAAACAACATACAGTAGGTATATAGGTAGGTATATAGGCACTCTTTTGACAGCTTTGGGATCTTTGTGGCTTCAGATCATTATATTTCATTACATGAGTGTTTGTTGGAGATCTTGGTTCTAGTTCATGGTCGCTCCAGCGGTTCTTCGTGCGTTTTCTTAGTTGGACAAGCTGAAACTTGCACACGTCAGGTTCTTTGCAATTGTTGCTTGACGAAGAACAGCTCCTCAAAAAAAAGATGTGGTTTCCATTATTTTATATAAGCTATGGCAGCTATGAGGGGTGACCAGTTCGCAAGTACCAGACCTCGGCTGGAAATCCGAAACCAACTCGGTGGCATCCGCTCGGCCTCCACAGGTGAGTTGATCTGCTGGTACTGCCGAGCGGTGTCCTCAAAGGTGGAGAAATGCTTCACCTATCATGCCCAAAGTCCCTATCATAGTTTTGTAATCTCAACTACTGTAATGGTCCACTACTATAATCTTGCATATATATATATTATATATATATGTATATATGGAACTTAATATAGTTATATCTCTGGCAGAGGAGCGATGGTGAGATGAAAAACCACTGGTGTTTGAAGCACCCGAAGCCTGCCGAAGCCCCACAATCCTAGGTCCCAACCAAGAAACTGCAAATGCAAGGTTAACTACTTACAAATATCTTTAACATCAAAGGGAATGCTTCTTTGGTTCTGTCTAGTTGTGCTGATCATGAAATATGAACCATATGAACCCTCTATCCTCTACCACCCGGGGCTAGAACTCTCCTTGTGAACGACCTCGTGACGGGTAGCAACGGGTCGAACGAGCTCGTTGCCCCGTCGCCAAGACTGGTCACCAGTGCTGAGCCCCTGACCAAAACGAAGACAGCAGTGGCTGCCTCCACAGCGGTGGTGACAGCAGTTGCTGTTGAACCCGTGAGATGATGTGGAATAAAGAGAGACTCTCGGATGCATGAGAGACTTGCAAAATGGCCCCCACTTCTGGCAACACTCATAAGGCAACATTAAACAAAAAAAAGCAAGCACACATGATGTGGTACTTCTCAAGCAGCTACCGAATCATGGGCATCGCAGCCACTGATCTGTGAGGGGTCAGCCTACTGATAGACTTTCTCAAATGGGTCCGTTCCCCATCATTGGTGGCACGAAGTCGATGCCCAGAAGCAGCTTTTCTTAGTTCGCAGCTGCAAGCAGCGAACCGGAGCTGGGCAAGGAGTGCATGAGCTGGGCAGGTTGATACAAGGCATTTATCATGCAAATACAGGTTGGAGCCACACCGCGAGAACACGTACAAGGGCTGCTATTGCTGTTGAAGGGAACCAACCCCAGGCCACCCCACGTGCAAATCGCTGCTGCTGGAGGTGAATTAATACTTCGCGCATCTTGAATCACACATGTAAAACCACCATGTGTTCAACCACAAGTTCTCTCCCAACTACTTGCAAAGCCACCTTAACTCTAGACTTTGGACATAGCCACCTTAAGTTTAGTGGAAATGGACCCCTCCACTAGCACTGGCGAGGCCTACTAAACTGGGTCATTATTTTTTCCGTGCGTTTTTTTTCTGCTGGAGTGCGCATGTCTCCCAATGAGGGAGGCCATTTCCCTCAACATGCGTTTCATTGTTCCACACAATGGCTGACCACGACCCACAAGAGTTGGGCTGTCAAAAAGTGGATTGAGAGGACCAATGGCACAAGTGACCCCAAGTTTGGTTGTTTATATGGACCCACATCCAAAAGTGATCTTGGGATTTGTATGGATTTGTGCCTACTGCCTACTCTCAATCCACTACCTACATCTTGGTATGCATGCTGTTTTTTGCCTCTTGTGGAACAAACATTTTTTTGGAACTAGATGCACTTCTTGCAAATCAAAGGCCTCAGTAATCTGTTGCTCGAGTCTCACCAAGTGTCAGCTGACTCAGTGACACACGTCAACCATGGGCACATAGATTTAACACAGATCTGGACAATTGCCATCTAATATAGGATCTGACTTAGGGATAACTCATACAGGAAGATATAGATGAAGACAATGATAAAGATAGTATCATAGGAATACGCATTTCATTTTGAAGTAGTAATTATTGAAGACATTTACTAGTAACATAATTTTAATAGTACTATTATTAGAATTATGGGTTTGTACGATAGAATTATTAAAGACTAAGGAATTATATGTATTGTTGTCTATTTTTTTTTTTAATGTTGTGCTTTGTTTGGTGTGTTTTTTGTTTGTTGTTTGGTTGTTTTGTTTTGGGTATGGAATGGATGAGGTGATGATGTATTGACTGTGATGATTTCTATAAAATGGATGAGGTATAGAGATTGTAGGTTGTTTTGATTTATGAAAATGAATGAGATGATGATATGGTTAATAGTGATGATTTTGTGGAATGAATGAGGTAATTGTGGTTAGTTGTTATGTTTTTTTTTGCAAATAGTTATTGAGTTGTTAACCCGCTATAATTTGAGTTTATAAGACTTCTTTGAACTAATGGTTTTAACATTTTTGGGGTGCCAGGGGGGGGTCTGTGCCCACCTTTATTTGAGGATATGTGACAGGAGCCCAAAACGCTCGGGGATGCACCCAAAACCATGACGTTGGACATCGGTGCCTCGCCCGGGACCTGTGCGTCCGGACGGTGGACCGGTCGGGCAGCAGCGCGAGCCGGGTGGACGACTCGTCCGCCTCACCCAGGGAAGCTCCAAAGCCCAAGCGCACCAACAAGTGCTGTGGAGAGCCTGGCCCGGAAAGGAGGGAGAGCCAAGACCAATCGCAACAGCGAAAATGAGGTTCAGGATTTCCTGGTTCTGGTCAAACATGGTCAAACATGGTCAACATATCAAATTTTGCAATTATATAGATGGTATCAGCAGCAAAGGCTCTGAGTGGACCCACTTTGTAGTGAGTTCATCAAGATCGTGAAGAATTCGTGATAATTCTTGTCTCTTGGCCAACCAGCTTCTGGGGAGGTCCCCGAAATCCGTGTCGTTCGGTGCTGAGTGGCTGCTTCAAGCAATAGAGCACATATTGAAAGACCCTCTCCCTCAAAGATGCAGGGATGAACCCATGTCCATACAACATCCATGCCAAGAAACACGAGGTCCCGGCTTAGCTGGTCAGTCATCACCTAAAATCCATCCTCGGAGTAGAAAGGATACGAACCAGGGCTGGATCTTCTGATGGGTTTTTTTGCTGGATCCTCCCATATTCTATCTACTGTACTCATCTACTCCCCAGGAATAGCCTTTCAAAAAAACCACTCATCCTCGTCTGACTCTTCCGTCATCAACCCTCTCCGCCTTGAATGCAAGCAGCTCGGTCTCCCAGTTCGGCCACCTCGCTCCGCGATGCGATCAGAACACCGAACTGTCGAGTGGATGTGTTCCGTGCTCGGGGTCGGTATACAACGACATAACATGTACAGTAGTCTGTTCAGGGTTTTGGGTATCAATGATATACCAAAGCGACTTACTAACATGGATCACGTCCTGGCCCCCTGGAAGATGGTCATCCTCTACCAAGCAGTGGCTTTCAGGCTCCGTGTTAGTCTCCAAGGAAATAAGTCATGGAAAAGAAGAAAACAAGGACCATCCGTAGACGATCAGCAACACGCTTCAAGGTCATTAAAGCACATCTAGTTTTGCTTCGTTCTCCAAACACATTCTTAGGCAATCCATCAAATACTATTGTTACAGTAATTAGTAGATATTAGTAGTGCAACTTGCTGCCGCCCGGTTGCTTTGCAACAGAAAAGTGGACGGTCAAAAACCAGGAATAGCCGCATATCTGACACATCCCTTTCACACGTGCCTTTTGCAAGGCAGGTCCCAAGTTCGTCACGTGGGCTGTGCCACTGGAATTTTACGGCTGACCTGCATCTGGTCCAGGAAGCACGTCGACATGCTGTGTGAAGCAAAACAGCTCTCAATCCAAATCGAATTCTTCACGCCAAAGGCCAGAACTCCATCCACTGGACCGGTCCCGCGGGTCCGTCCCGCCGCACCGTGGTGGGCGTGAAGAACTCGCTGCAGGGGATCTCCTCTCCGAGGTCGGTGCCTCCCAGTCGAGGACGGTAGACCCGGTGTGCGAGGTCCCGTGGCGTGGCTTCTGTGGTGCGGAGCGACCGTGGCTAGCCCTGCTTGGATGTGCAGTTCCAAGAAGTTTCACTTGGTTAGAAGATGAAGGTGGAAAAGGTGGTTGAAGTATGAGGTTTTGGGGTTATGTCCCTCATCTCCCTTGATGTTTCAGGGAGTGAACTTGGATGTCGATGTCGGTCGCAGCTGCATATGGACATTGGACATGTGTGCCGTGCTTGCCCTGTCGGCCACCAAGAAAGCCTGGCAGTTGTCCCAATTATTCAGGTGACGAGGCTGGGGACAGGTTCATGTTCCAAACTTGAGCAGGGGATCGTGCCCGGTGTCTCAGAATCAGTGTGGAATGACTCCAATCCCAAACCTAACTAGCTCAGCTAGCTGAAGGTCAACATATGTTGTTGCTTCAGAATTCCTGGACGAATTCTCTCAATGGGTGGAAACAAAAACTATTTGTCAAAGGGATGTCAAAGGGCACGACACACACACACACACGTATGTCTCTTTTGATTTGAGGATCGGGCCCCGTTGGCCAATTCACCAAATGCTCTGAAAGAATGGGTCCCATCCTTCTGCGAAAGTCGAGATCAGTGGAAGGCTCGGTGAAGATCCAAAATAGAAAACATCGGTGGAAGTTCCTTCGGTTGGGGGGGTGTCGGACACTGGAACACCCAATTTTTGCATCTCCAAACTACTGGAATCTGGAATGGAACTTCAGAGTGGCCTGAATTTCCATTCAAGTAGATCGGAGAACATGTGATCCATGTGATCCTACAATGGTGCAGTTTACAAGAGGTCAGTGTAGAAGTTCTCCAACAGATCAATGCATTGCACTTAGATTGACGGTTTAAGTTCCAGCAACGCACCCACCCAAGCCATTGCTTGCAAAACAATTATAGAAAAAAAAACGCCTCGCGCGTCCGGAAGCGCTTCCGCTGCCACCCTCGGGGACCCCGGGCCGTTCCATGCGGCGAGCGCCGCATCGAAGGCCACCAGGAGGAAGTTTCCCTGGTCGACAAACTGCGCGAGGACCGCCTCCGGCGTGCCGTACCGGCGTGCCGTACCGGCGTGTGGTGGGAGGCGGGGGGGGCGATGGACTTGTCGAGGTACCGGTGTTCGCAGATACGAACAGTCCAGAAATTCCATGCTTGATCTATCAAGAAAGCGGTCCATCATTCCATCTTAATTTATTATATGAAATTTCTCGGTTGGATGAGTCTGTGGATGTCTGTGGTTGTCTTCGCTGAAAAGGCGACTTGACCGAAACGGAAGTTGGACGGACCTCGGGCTCCGGATCCATCAAGCCATATCCGCGACACCAATAAGCGCCCAACGGAGTCCTGGTAAGTCAGGTAACCTATGGTGACTTAAAACAAAAGAAGCAACTTAAAAAGCATATCAGGAAGTTCTTCCATGTTCTTCCTGTCCTGTCTCTGGAACGTAAGTTCTTTCTTCCTGTCTCTGGAAGGCATCCGATCAACACCCTGACACCGCACGCGATCAGCAAGTGTTCCGTCCGACGGCGCTCGACGGGCTGGGAATACACAATGGCAAGGAACGATGGCATGGAAGGCTGGGTTGTACACAATGCCAAGGCTAAGGACTTAGTAATTCATCTTCATGGAAGGACTTTACATATTTGACGGCCTACCATGTCCAACAAAATGACCGCCGTGCTGCCCCGCTAACATCCTGCAGTGACCAAGTGTCCGTTCTTGGACAATCCTCTTACTTCACAAAATAACGAGCAACTATTAATTAATGTATCATTACGTTCTAATGATGATGATCCTCCAACTTGCTTCTCCAAGGATTCTACAGGTTCCTTGCAACACGGAGTCGCTCGCATCCATATTTCGGCCCCCTTCCATTACAGAATCTGGCCCCCTTTCCATCGGAGTCGATCAACGCAATGCCTCAAAACCTGGTGGCATGTTCGAAGCCCAAACCACCTCCCAAAAACCGGACCAAAATTCCTCCACCCCAGCTTCCATGGCTCATGTTCTCGCCTTTGGCCGAACCGGCGCGAGGTCACAACCTGGGACGTCCGCATCCGCCGCTCCCACATGCTGATTGACAGCATGGCCCGACTGACCCATACACTTCATCCGGACTGGAAGACCCCAGGTTCCCCAACTGATCGGTAGATGTATGCCGGACATGAGACATGGTCCGCATGGTCCGCATGGCAGTCTCTGGGAGCTTGGGAGTGTGAGGGGTGTCCAGCTTTTGACCCTGCCAGGGGCATCCAAGAGGGATCATGCTTGAAGGATGCTCCACCATGCTTCTTGACAGGATGATTTCAATGGAAATCCCTGTCTCATCCGGGTTCCGGATCTGCCCCAGGAGCTGCGTGCGAACGCCGTGAACGCCGTCCAGGGGCGATCCGGAAGGATCTTCTGGAAGGCTCCAATGGCGACCATTCAACTGACTTGTGCGACTCGTGCGACTCGTCTGGGTGGCTGGATCCTGAGGTATCTCAGGGTGGACGTCTGTTCCCTCTTTCTTCCCAGACTCGTCCCACGTTCGTCTGTTCTGCAGGTCACCGCAGGTCTTGTTCTGACCCGTTCCAACGGGCCTCGAAACCGGACGTTTCGCTGCTGGGTGTCTGTGGAACGGACACTTGGGGCGTCCCACTTGAGCCACGTGAGCCAGCCTCCCTCACAAAGCGGACTTTGGCACGTTCAGATATTGAAAACTCACGAAACTCAAAGACTCTGACCGTGACCTCGAAAACCACTATATTATACTAACATCTAATGGCGCTTGGTTCAAATGTATGGACTAGAATCCTGATGTCTGATTTGCATGAAAAGCATTACCTGCTCGAAGCCTAATTGTGTTTGGATTTCTGCATCCTTTCCCAGATTTAGGGGTGTCATGGGGTGTCTTAATTGATCCGTATTGATCCACATTCTCGTCATTCTCTTCCCGCAACAGCTTAAGTCAATTCTATATCTCTCCTGAACCACTGGCCTTGTTGGTGGTGATTTCGTTCTGCCAAACACGCATCTGTCTGTGAGAGCCTCCAGACCCTGGCCCCCCTGTTCATCCAGGAGGCGCAGGTCACTTGCACCTGGGCACCCAGCCTGAGCAGTGGAACAAGGTGTGCTGTAGAGCAAGCAGGAGCACCCAACAACACCCGCGAAGAACAACGCTTCTTGCAGACTGCACGGTTGTTTCAATACTGTAATACTGTAGTTCAAATACACCCAAGAAGAGACCCACATGGAACATGAAAATGGACCTGCTATCGGAAGACGTCTGTTCCTCTACAAGCCGACGAAGTGGTGAACTGCAGGTGCCATAATGCGGGCCTCGGAACCGGCCGTTGGTGCGTTCTGTTGCTTTTCTCATGGTTCTATCATGGTTCTATCAAGGGTCTGTGTCCCCGGTGTCTCCGCCACGAGCTGAACAACGCCGGTCAATCGGCCGTGAATCGGGTTGGTCTCGTCGGATGCAGTCGAATGAGAGGAACTGATGCACTTGGGCACGAAGGATGCAGTAGAAGTTGTGGGCTTTGAGTTCTGAGTAGACCAATCACAAATGCCTGCTAGCTGCTAGGGGAAACACTCATCTTCCAACCCGTCAAGGGGTTGGGTTGTGCACTACAACCACCATGGTTGAACTGCATGAAGTCGCTGGCCAACAAATCTCAAAACGATCTAGGACATGCAAACCATATAGTATCATAGAGTAGATAGACCATGGCAAAGAAATCTAGTGCTCCCTGCTTGCTGCTGTTGACCCTGTATCCATTGGTCATACGCCACCCAAAAAGACTGCAGAACCTCCAGCTACAGTATTCTACGCTACTACTATCCTCACAAGAAGAAAAAACTCAAATCCCGCGATAGCAGGCACCAACCAAAAATCCAAAACGATTTTGTTAAAAAAGGAAAACACAACATCAACAAAACAACCATCAAGACAACGACCGGATCAGCACTGCTTCTTTTTAAGCACTCCTCTCCCCCCTTCCACCGCCGGATCTCTCGGAGCGAGCGTCGAAGAGCGACGGCTCGGAGAGGCGCCCACAGGCGCTGAGCTCTGCAGGACTGGCGGGCGCCAGGCGCTGACCCGCCAGGCATCCACACCAACCATCGAGGTACTGGTGGTTGTACCAGGTAGTGGGGAGCCCAACGAGGATATGAAACCACAAGAGCTTACAGAAAACCCCAATGTTCTTAGACATCTTGTCCACATTTATGTAGTATATCTCACATGATACATTAACACCATTCATACTATAAAGCTAGTGTAAGAAACGATTCCATGCATGGGTGGTCTGGGATGTGGACGGGTTGATGATGAATTAGCAGCAAAGGACCGTCCTGGTGCATGCGTGACCATCTGCTTCCGGGGCGGGTGATTGATCAACCCCTCGAAAGGATCTCAGAGATAGATGTTTGACCGTCCTGGGGTGCCTTTTTCATCAATCAACATTACTACTTGGTCACACTAGTCACACTCTTCCTTACAAGACTTGGAAGCATTATGAAAGTGACGAGTGGAGAAAACCTTTCGGGAAGAAAGACATGAGCGGGTTTGTCTGGGTCAACCCTCAACTTATGTACAGTAGACATCCGCACAAAATCTTATCGGTCTTTTCTAACTGCCTTGCGGCATCACGAGTCGCCGTGTCGCGCTCGTTTTGAGTTTTTTTGGGTGTAAACAAACCAGCATGTTGAGCGGGCTGAGATGTTTCACCATTACAAAGTACAGAAAGATCGGAATTTGGGCTGCCCAACTGCATAGAAGCAATCATACCTCTCCTTATATACAAGAAGCACGTTGAACAGTTGCTGTCTCCCAGCTCTGTCCGATATGCCACTATGCAGGTGCACATCGATATATGTTGCGCTCGCAAGCATCGATCAGGGCCATTTGGTCCGTCAACAGTATCAACAAGGCTGATCTGCAAGTGGTCCTTCAAGGGAAAACCCCTTGGGTGTGTATTAAAGTAGGGAGACCTCCCAAAGACCTCCTATTAAAATACACACCCACTTTGCAACATCGAAACAAAAGCTTTACGCCTTACGCCTTCCGCCGCGCAAGGACCAACGGTGCGGCACGTGGTGCATATGCAAATGATCGGCGCCGTGTTGTTGGCAGTGAACAAACGTGATCGCACTTCACCTCTGCAGATTTTAAGCTCATGAGTGCTCAACTGCTTCCACCCAACACGGAGTCAGGAAACAACTGGATGGGGTGATCTGTAAGTAATATGAGATGCTGAACCTATAGTGTCCTAAATAGCATGACCACATCAACAGTTGAACATTTCGGTGAGTTTTCCAGTGTCTCGGAGGTGTTTCTTGGAAAGCGGTCCGTCGTCCTAGGGCCTGCGGCAAGCCACTGCATCTGGAAGGTTGCTGGGGTCCTGACCAAGCTGCAGGGGAGTCGGAAGGACATGAGTCGCTGTTTCCTCATCCATCGATGGTTTCAGTGTCCTGGTTGTCTCAGAGTAAGCAACACAAACCATCAAGGAAGGACACAAAATGGAAGAACAAATGAGCCAACTTAGAACAGATCGCCTGAGCTCTTCGAACAATTGTTTGGTTTTGGGATGTTTTGGGAGAGTCTCAACCAAACAGCTGCTTCTGAACGTCGGAACGAACAGGTTGAAGGGGCGAACCTGTCGCCCCCCCCGAACCGCGGCCGACCTCGCAGGCCGCACTGATGTGCTGCGACGGGTGCGGCGCGGCTCCGCAACCTCGAGAAGGCTGGTCCTCTTCTTTGGACCGTGGATCCATGCGCCGCAACCGTCTGAGAGGGGGTTGGACTGATCGGAAAGCTCTGGAGATGAAGATGTTGAAAGGTTTCACATGGTTTCACGTGGTTTCACTGTTCGTTTGCATGTGATCTCTGCCTACATTTGCTGCACACGTTCTTTTTGGACTGACCGATGACCTATCACAAAAACTTAGCCTTTTACCAAGTAGCACCCCTATGGGGTGGACTGACCGCCGACTGAACTGCGGGCTTGGATGAGGCAGAGGGGGGATGACCGTGAAATCTTGCGAAACGAGGCGTGGTCAAAGGGTTTATATACTTACCATCTTCGGCGCAACGTGCCTGTTTAGATTAGAATCTCAAACTGATAGGTAAGTACGGAATAGATGCCACCATGAATGGGTACTACCTTCTTGACCATCTATGATACATAACACCATATGCAAGGGTATGTTCCTCTAGGCCATCATTTCAACAGCTCTTGTTCGGACAACAGCCATGACGACAATCTATTCAAATTATGATGCCTTCTATATACATATATATATATATACGTACTATATCCCAGACCATGGGACAGGAATATTTACAGAACACGTTACCACCAGCGTGCGCTAAAACTGTCAATATTTCACTGTATTCTTGCATATCTAGTAGAGTAGTGCAAAAACACTATATTTCAGTGAGTGTATTATACTAAATGCTTCAGTGTCTTCAGTGTCACATAACCCAAAAACCCAAAAAAACAAAAAAATGAAAACAAAAAAAATAAAAAAAAAAAAAAACAACCCAACCAACCCAAGACCCTCTGCAATCCATGAGTCTGTTTTTTTTGTTTTTTTTGTCTTTTTTTTTGTTTTTTTTAGTTTTTTTGTTTTTTTTTGGTGTTTCAACAGGTTTTGGACACAAAAAAAGAAAATCAAAAAAAACAACAACCCAAGACCCTCTGCAATCCATGAGTCTGTGTTTTTTGTTGTTTTTGTTTTTTTGTTTTTTCCTGCACTCAGGAAAACCAAAAAGAAAACCTTTGGACCCAAGACCGTCTGCAAGCCATGAGGTTGTTTTTTTTTGTTTGTTTTTTTAGTTTTGCAATTTCACAAAATTCCTATGCCCATCCTGTCTGGCTCATAGTATTCCTTTTATCGTTCAATTTGCTTCTCTGCTATCTGTCGAGCCCATGGCTGTGAGGGACGGAATATTGAGTTTTGAAGAAGGTATAGGCAACTGGAGGATGACAAACAAATCAATTAAATTTCCAACTAACAAATACAAGTTTATTCATACAGTTTAATTGAAATTCCAAAAATCGAAAATGAAACAATAGATGTGGTGGATGAGTGGGACACCAAAGCAATATGTAAGCAAGTTGAAGAATTAAACCCATGTATGATCAGAGCAAAATTTGCGGGATCAGGCAAGTCATATATAGGACAGTATTTTAAGAAGATGGGTAAAAATGTTTTATTCGTGGTGGCTCATAATAGGTTAAGTCAAGAAATAGAAGGTGATTCAACAACCTATAACCTGTTCTTTAGAATCCCAGTTCATAAGGGGGATGAACTACCAGAGTTTGACCATCGTGAATTTGATGTTATATTTTTTGATGAAGTCTATATGACCAATCTATATATCTATAGTAAGTTTTTCAACTCTGCTGAAAAACATAAAAACAATAAACTCATCATAGGAGCCGGTGACTGTAATCAACTTCCACCAATCAGTGATTTAACAAACACTCAACCACATGATAAATATGCTGACCAATGTATGGACAAAATCTTTAAATACAATAAAACATTTATTTCCAGGGAATTGATCTTGCTTTGAACATAAACGATTTTTATGAAATTTTTCCAATATGGAAGTATATTCTTTCTTTAATGAAATATATTCATACCACCAACAATATTCATTCTCTAGGATGGAAGCAAAACTCAATTAGAATTCCATTTGCATTGAATTGGAATCAAGTTAGAAAATTAGATATATAGATCAATTGAATTTAAGTTATATAAAGACGTTAACATTAGAAATCATTAACAAATCAATTGGAAATTGGAATAAACACAATTACAATGTTTAATGCAAAACAAAATGAAATAGAATTAAATGAGAAATAGATTGGAATTAAATTAGAATTGAATAATATTAAACCAAAATCCATTATTCAAATTGAAATTGATCTAGACTTAAGGTAGAATTGAATTAAAGATATTTAACCTAGGAATTAATTAATAGAACAATATTGTAATATTGATATAAAATTATGTTATACATAATTCACTTTAATAAAAATTGCAAATTCACTTTGAATTCCAATAAATAGACTTTCAAATACATTCAATTTAGAATTAGATTGGAAATAAAAATATATTGCAAATTCACATATAAATTCAATTTGGAATTTAATATTAGATCCAGAATAATCAAAGATAATTACAATTACAACAAAACTAAATTAGAATAAAATTGACCTCTAATTTGATTATAATGAATTTTAAAAAGACATAAACTTAATTTAGAATAATACATAAACTTAATTTAGAATGTAATTAGGTTCAATTTAGAATTGAAATAGAAGTCTATTACATATTCAAAACAAATTCAATTTAAAATTCATTGAGATCCAATTTTATTATCAATAAACATAGAAATGAAATAAATTCAATTAGAATAAATATTGATTTAGAATTTAGTTGAATTGTATTTAAGTCAAAATTCATAGAATTAAAATAGAATTGAGTCAATAACTATTTAGAAATGAATAAGAAATAATGCTCGTCCACATGAGAAGTTTTGGCTTTGGTATGAGCTGAAAACTTTCCACAGCAAGATTTGGCAGCTTGAAATGCTTAAAAAGGTGCACGCTCACAGTGACGAGCTCTCAATATTTACATACATTGGCATTGGGGTGGTGTCAGAAGTGAATGTAATTACCCTACACTTCCAACAAACATCGATTTAAACAAACGTCGAACGGAAGGCAAGTGAATGTCGGCAAATACACCATACATGGATTGTTAGGGTACCATATTAATGCCACTTGTCAACAGAACAAACTAGAGAAAATAAAGCGCCGTTCCCTGGGTCAAACATGCTCGCACCACATCCATTTGTTCCGCTCCACCTCTGAGGATCGAAAAGAACGCAAAGAAGGAACAATTCCAAGTCATCAGCGGGATCCCAAAAGTAGTATGGCTTGTAGGGGCACGATGGCATACCGCCATGGCATCAGCGGGATCTACATCTAATGTAGAAAGTGAATGAAGATACTTCAGTGACGATCCTTGACGTGTCTCGACCCACCCATGGGTGCCCATGGATGACTCAGCAGGGAGAACATCGGATCCAGAACAACTTGTTTTTAAGGGGACTATCCTCAGGAATTCAGTCTGGAAAAAGACTACATCATCTACGTGCCAGGACCATCGCGAGGTGCCAAATAGACTACCCAGCCCTGGGTACACAGCTCACACGGTGGTGTGTAGCACCACATGTGCTACACTTAGGAGATCCCAGGTTTCGGTCGTCTTCGACTCCCCCTTACACCAACCTCCCACTGGCCGCCAAAAGGCCAATGGCTCGACACCTGAGCCGGCGCCGGTCGTCCATCCACGAAACCCGTCCGCAGGTCGTCGGCTGGTCAGGCACCCAAAACATCAGACATACCTGAAACCATCAATTACCCTGCCTGACTCAGGCACCCTGACCATCAATGCACTCTATACATGGTCAGGCACCCTGGAGCCTGCAACTCACCATCAATTCCCCTGCCTTTTTCCTCCACTCTCTGGTGCTGCTGGGCATGTCAACCTCTTAATGCAATAGTAGAGCGATCTCGGTCGCTCTCAATTGTATGGAGATGTAATTATTTGCTGAACCAAACCTTTGCCTCAAATCCCAAGTGGTTACAGTTACATAAACATGGAAGGTGACTCAGGTATACATACTGACATACTGGTTCTATTTGATTCAGAACCTTTCATTGTGTGACTTTGCATCTCGCTGGTGAGGTCATTTCAAATCAGTTTTACTCCAAAGGGTCCTTGTAATCGGATGTTTTAGCTCAATTCTCGAGAACTGCCTCATCTTCCAAAAACTTCATTCCATATGAAAGATGGTGAAAACATATCATAACATATATATCAACACTATCTCCCACCATGACGGTTGGTGTAGAATCACATCACATCATAGGTCATAGGATAACTTTGGATTACAGACTGATCACCCAGTATACTAAAGATTACTAAAGTATATATATATAGTTTACACAATAAACACATGTACGGTATATTTACATATCCTTACATATCAATTCCAGCTTTTTTTGTGGATTATTTCCTTCTGCCCGGAAAACCATCTCCAAACCGTTTCCACCACGCCGCTGGGACGGAGCGAAGCCATGCGAGCCATCGCACACGAAGCCCGGCTCCACCTGGATGGATCCAGGCCGGGACAAAGCAACGGAGGAAACGAAAGCACGGTGCCCCTTTCAAGAGGAAACGCAACAGAACATGATATGGTGTCTTTCTGTGTTTTCTCTCCGAATTTCAGTGAATTTCAGGATGTTTTTTGCGGACAAACGGTTTATAGACTCTGAATTCATGGATTTTCGGTGGGTGCTTTCCAGGGTCTGGAAATGCTCCTACCCTCCGATGCCATGAGTTGGCGTGTCAACCCAGCGATGGACCCAGCAGGCTCAGTGCCCCCCCCGGTGAAGACCCGCCGTCGTCCCGTTGGTGACTTCAATTGGTTAAAACCAGTTCCAGTCACCGCCAGACCAGCGGCTGCCATTGCAGTCTGCTGAGCTTGGAAATATCTTGAAGCTGGAAAGGCACAGGAAATCACACCTTGCTTGACCGCCCAACAGGGGCCCCGTCACCGCCCTGTCAAGATTGGCGCCAATTCGCGCGGTCGACGTGAAAGTGCGAGGGTATGCACCAACTGCGCGCAGTCCAGAAAGAGGCGCATTCTTGGATCCGCTTCGGACATATACCTCAATTTCGGCGGTTTACATGGAGCCCCAAAACATCTTTAGGTTTGCGCCATCAAACCTCTGAAACCACTCCAAATGATCTCTTCCCCAGCACTAGGTCTATTGACCCGTGGTTTTTCCAGAGTGACCTCCGTTGGAGTCAGGGTGACCATCGGCCTTATTGGTCTGGTCAAAGCCCTAGGGCTCCTAGCACTGTTTTTCTCCGAAGAACCATCGTTTTACCTGGGATGTTACACTAAGAAGTTTAGGGTCAATGAGTTCTGTTGACATGAAGCTGCGATAAACTGGATGAACACCCTCTAGGGTCCACACATGGTCCACACCTAAAACTGGGAATGCACACTGAGGTACTCGTCTGAGGGCCCTATTGTCTCGCAAATGCTATCCGTTATAAAACAGCCATCATCAGGATCATCGCCCTTGTGCGGACTCTCAGCCAGCATGGCCCTGCAGTGCCAGATGGGCCATGAGATGGGCGGCTGCTACCAGACTTCGCCCCAACACTCGCTCGCGCGAAGAACTCAACGGGGGACCTCCCAGTTGAGCTCCAGCTCTGAACGGCTTGCTTTTTTGGAGAACGGAGACCGCGCAGGGAGACACCGGCCTTGCAGTTCGCATCGCAGCCATCCAGCGCGTCCAGGTTCCCATCGTCACACTGCTCCTGGCACGCTGCACAGAACAAAATGGTGGCACGAGACTGCAGACATCTGTGAAAGAACCAACAACCTGAACGGATAAAACATGATAAAACGCTTGAGTGGTCTCTTTAGATTGACAGATATATTGAACCGCAAATACTGGATCGAAGCTCCACTGCATCGCTCGAGAACCACTCCACCGCTCGCCGCTGCATCTCGTCAAACCCTCGTGACCCTCGTGCACCTCCCCGACGACCAGGCCATCACCACAGGCGAACTGGCAATCCCAGGTCATGAAGACCTCAGAAGTTGGAGGAGTTGGAGAATGAAACTGAAAGAGTTGGAGGAGTTGGAGTTGGCCCCGGAAACGCGCCCTAAAGAACAACTGCAGCGTCCTTTCTTTGCCTCCTAAGCAGAACGGACTTGCACACGTGACATCCCATGATAGACCGTGGGATGCGTTCAGGATGTTACTCAAAAAAAGACCGTGGGGGCCCATAGCAAGTGCTTCGGGAACTGTAGCTCTGAACGGCTCCCCTTTCAAAAGGGAAGAAGTGGATACCCCTGGTATCCTCCTGAGTTCCCCAACCTGCTAGTGTGGCAAGAAAAGAAAGAAGTGGGGCTTGGCTTTCTGTCATGCGAGTCATGCTTTGCCTCACATGCTCCTCGTTGCCACAGATCGGACATCGAGGGGTCACCGATCAAGTCGTCTCCGGAGGACCAAGACGACGAGCGACAGATCGACCAAAGGGGGGGGTGGCCTCAGGAGCTGGTGAATGGGAATAGATAGGGGATTGTCTCTACAGCTCCTACATGGGTCATGTGTTCCTGGTCCTTTCTTGGGCCCCCTTTCAGAACCTCTCAGAACCTGCCAAAACCGCAGGATATGTGGATCAACGCGGTGCCCACCGCTGTCGGCCCAAGAGTTCGTTGTTGAAAGGAGACTCCCGTGTAGACTCTTCATCAAGAGTCCACCCCCCCCAACCTCTTGAGTTGGGGGTCTTATTTATCAAGAGTCCACATGTCTGGGTCCTTGAGGTACACTTAACATGTCCAGCATTCATAGAGCTGGGGAGCTTCCTGCACATAGCAAGGGAGCTTCCTGCTGACACCACGCAAGCCTCTATAGTATCTGCAGGTCCACCTCTCTGATTACGAGATATTATGATACATAAGCATGTCCGAAGGGTTATTACAATATATACGATATAATATAAACACACTGTATGTCAGCCATAGCCACACCACACGCGCGAGGCCATGCGCCCATGCGCCAGGTGCTTTCTTTTCCCCGGTCACACCGCCTCAGCTCTCGAAAGCTGCAACTCATGCGCAAAGACCACCACCGGCCTCGGGCGAACTGTGGCGGTCTTCAGCATAAGCAGCATATAGTATATAACATATGGCCCAAAACATATCCCCTGTGTGAATTCAGGGGTGGGGGGCAGCCAAACCCAGAACGCAGTGCAGTGCACACATTGCACACGACGTCCATCGGTTCATCGGAGGGAACGACGTCCATCCGACTCCTTGGGTGGGCGATATGGCTCGGTCGATGGATTAAGTGGATGAAGTGAGTTGATCGAGTCTGCAGCATCCCAAAACAAACAAACATATTAAGATACAGTATATAACATATATTCAATAATTAATACAAGAATGGAATCCAATATCGGGCCGGCTGGCATGGCCAAAATCTGTGAAGTTCTGTGAAGTTCTGTGAGTTCAAACCACCAGGACCCTTTTCGGCTTTCAGGGTGGTCGCATCATGCGACGGACGCAACCGACCTGTAACAAGTCTCTTAGTCTGGAGGTTTAACGCTGACGTGTCTCTCGGAATGCTTGGTGAGGATCGACTATATAGGAACGTATTAACAAATAGAGAAAAGAGTGCAATAATCATCCATCATACACGTTAAGCAAATAATCATAACCATTCACAACCTATACATCGACCAGTTTGCACAATCAGGGCTCGTGCAAGAGGGAGCAAGGCTGAGCGGCTTAGCCGCTGAGACTCGAGCACAAAAATTGAAAACACACAAGAAAAGCACTCATAGTAGCAGAAGTTCTATGCCAGGGTGTCTTTTGGCTCTTCAGTTAGTGGATAGGACCCCCAACATGGAACTGCTGGCGAAAAGGTTGTGTGAGAGATTCCTTAAGAATCAAGGCATAACCTTGCTGGTCCCAATGCGCCAAGTAGTCGGGCTATCCTCGGGTCACTAAAAATAAAGCTGGCCATGCATGCTCTTCCATCTGCGGCTGGTCCGGTTGCACTGCCTGGAACTGACACTAATAATACTGTTCCTATTAGAAAATTGTCTTGCAAAGGGGCCATTTTCCACTTCCATGTTAGTTCAACGCCTGTGCTCCTCCAAGTGGCTTGTCGAAGCTCTCGAAATAAAGCGGGCTCAATGGATCCAAATAGCTGGCCTGAGCCGAGCAAGGCGACCCTAGATCAGCCAGTCTGGTGGACAGTCACCTGTTGGAGAAGACCCGAGATTCTGGAACAAAGGATGCTGAATCAAGGCCTACACATTGGGAATCATTGGGAACACGGGTCCCTCATAGTATCTCATTAGATCACATGTCGCAAAGTTCTAGGGACAAAGGTTTTTTTCAAGGTAAACAGGTGACAAACATCTAAGAAAAGGAATATGTCCTGAAAAGAACAACAAGACAATCATAGGAATAGTATTATGATGGAAAACTGGAGAAAACACGTTGAAGTCAACCACAGCCGACAGCCGATTCTCCATCTCGTGCTCTCTTCTGTCGGATATGTTTCTTGACTCGGCTGAGCGATGATCGAGGCTTTGAACCCCAATCCATACTGTTTGGAGGCGAGGGAATCCCTCGATATACGTCCCGCCTAGCTGGGGTTTCAGTGCGTGAAGGTTCATGGTGGCCAAAAAAACCTTGAGCCCAACATCTACAAAATCAGATCAAAATTGTCAATTGTCTTGCTTCCAAATGGGTCATCTGTTGTCTTTGGCGGGCATTTCCAGCACCATTTCCAGGACATGTCCATCACACTTCTGGGAATGTCCGGCACGGTTTTTCTTCCAAACGAGCCAAAGATCGCCAGATTCCTAGGGGTAATGAATGGTATAGAGCAAAATTGCAAAGAAACCGTGATGGCTGCCCACTGTACGAGTACGAGTAGATATGAGAACTCCTGTGGCTTCACCAATCACCCAATCCAAGTGATCAAACATGCATTCAATGCACAACCCAGCCACTTTTGAGCCCCAAGCTGCTACACATGACAAAATGTGTTTTATTGAAAGTATGGATGGAAGCCCAAAACACTCTAGATCCTAAAAATAAGTAACCTACACCCTCAAAAAGAAACAATGTAAAAAAAATCTTCTAATACCTGTTCCTAAAATATGCTATACTTTTGAAGCACCAGGTAGTACAGGTAGTAGTAGTAGTAGTAGTAGTAGTAGTAGTAGTAGTAGTAGTAGTAGTAGTAGTAGTAGTAGTAGTAGTAGTAGTAGTAGTAGTAGTAGTAGTAGTGGTAGTCGTAGTGGTAGTAGTAGTAGTAGTAGTAGTTGTAGTAGTGGTAGTAGTAGTAGTAATAGTAGTAATAGTAGTAATAGTAGTAGTAGTAGTAGTCCGCATAAAAGAGACAAACCTGTCCGAATCATTCAAAGAGATTGTCTGTCGTCCGATCAAATTTCTACAAACAATCTGTCTGATCCTCCAACTAAAAAATGTGCACACCCCGCCGAACACATTACATGGAAGTGGAAAACCCTCTGTTTGTAGAGGAATCTTGGTCTTCCAAGGGACCATGCCATGCACGTCTCCACGTAACAATGTGACGTGTTCGTCGGAGTGTCAGTCCTCCTGGTCTCCAGGAGTCCTCCTGCCTCTAGCGCAGGAGTCGTGGCGGACTCCACCAAAGCTTAAGCAGCTTACGGTCGTGAATGACTGCTTTTGGGATACCCTTAAGCTTGTCCAATTCCTTGGAACTGACGTTGCGAAAGTCTGGAACCACTCAGCGCCGATGGCCTGCTGGTCTCCTCTTCAACACCAGTCTGGCGATTTATCTTGAGCGCCTCCCATGCAATGCCGGCCCTTCTCGGCGACGACGAGAACCTCCCGTGCTGGCCAAAGGCAAACAGCGGCAAACATCTCAATCTCCAGATCTTGCTTCCAACCCCAAGCGGCGGATCATCAAACCCTTGGGAATGCCTAGATTTCCGTGCTTTTTCTGGGCTCATCTTTGCCCAATGGTGGCATCTTAGCCCTCGATGTTCGACCCGTCCGCCATCGTCTTCCGCCACGCGGACGCTCTGTCCGGCGTTGACTGGTCAACATGATTTTCTCGCTCTCCAGACATGGCTTCGGAGGTCCTTGATGTGCTTCGACGACAGACCTCCCTCCAAACGTGGACGACGGGCGGTGACTGGCGGGAACTGGCACCCAGGACAACAGGTCCTATTTACCCTAGGCGTCCAACAACCAATGCTGTAAGTATTGATAATGGATGAGAATGGGTTTTACATGGTTTTCCGAACAACCATTGCTTGACAAAGGATTTTAGACTACAAAATCAGGTCAACCTTTTGTGTAATGGTTTTGGAAGGCCAGGGTGTAGACATGTTTAGACCACAGCACATCTATCTTCTATCGAATATCATTGATACACCAAGTTGCTGTCAGCACATTCAGCCGGACGCCGTCCGCCTGTCCTTGGAAACATGAGGTAAAACGACAGTCTGGTTGAAGGTAGATGAAGGACATGCAGGTCTGTTGAACGCAAATTCAGTGTGGCAAATGCTGAATTGAAATCTAAAGCTCCTCTGCGCCGCAAAGGCTGCATAAGAGAAACGGCCGTTCTTCTGAGAACTCTAGCTCCAGACTTCAAATTATTTATACATATTTATACAGTTATACACACTCCCTGGAACAATCATGGAAGTGGCAAATAGCCCCTTGGATTACCATTTTCCTCTACAAACAGGTGTTCAACTTTCATGTTTTTGTTTTTTAAGGGTGTGTATCTTGCTGCTGCACAAGTGCAGAAAGGGATAGCTGCATCTCAAAGTTTGAGTGGCAAGTGCACTATAGTGCACATCCTGTGAAGCTTGAAGAACCAATCAGCTTGCAAGCTACTTCTCCAGCTCCTCCCTCCCCATCCCTCTCCAATCGATTGGAGTACCCATCTGTCTCACCACACTTTCCCTGGCAGCGGCACGTTGGAAGGTCCGGTAGTGCTGGTAGTTGCCTCCCGAGGACGGCGATTCTTGGGAGGACCAGGCGCGAGAATGGGCACATGGGCGACCAGCG